ATATACGTCACAGTCCCCCGAGGATCCCTCACATATGAATAATTTTCTGGATGAGATACCCATTCCAAAAATGACTTCTGAAGATTGATCTACGATGGACAGGACTATATCCGTGGCTGAAGTGATGCAGGCAATTGGATCAATGCAAAGTAATAAGGCACCTGGGCCGGATGGCTTCTCAATTGATTTTTATAAAGAATTCTCTTCCAAATTGGCACCAATACTTAGCTCAGTATATCAGGATATTTTTACTCATCAGAAATTGCCTAAAGCCATGACTCAAGCAATAATTTCGGTTCTGCATAGAAAGGGCAAAGATCCTTAATAATGTAGTTCTTATAGACCGATAAGTTTGTTAAATTCCGATTACAAAATCCTTACGGAACTCAATCAATCAAAAAAAACTTCAATTGGTTGTTTGAACAGTTGTGAGATGGACTACAGTTGAAAATTAGCCTGCTGGCTAACACTGGCACATTTACAGAAATGTTGATTAATGTGCACTGTCCTTAAATAAATAAATGAGAAAATGAGAAATGAGTTCCGATCAGACTGGCTTATATCAGGCAGACAATCATTCTACAACTTGCGCCGTCTGTTTAATGTACTCTACTTATCAGGCTCTGAAGATACGGGGGAAGTAATCATATCCTTAGATGTGGAAAAAAACATTTGACCGGGTCGAATGGCCATACCTAGTTAAAAGGTTGAAAGGTTTGGCTTTGGTGTGTCCTTCCTATCCTGGATTAAAATACTGTATTCTTCTCCAACAGCAGCAGTACGTACAAACAATATAGTCTCAGAATATTTCCAGCTACACAGAGGTTGCAGGCAGGGATGTAGTCTATCTCCGTAGTTGTTTGATCTAGCCATTGAACATTGCTATTAGAACTCAGAGGGATATTAGTGTCATTGCAAGATGGGGCAAGATTCACAAGACATCATTGTATGCGGATGACTTATTAGTATACATTTCTAACCCATCGGAATGCATCCCTAATTTGTTGAGTATGTTGGATAAATTTGGTAATTTTTTGGTTACAAATTGAACTATTCCAAGTGTGTTTTTATTTCCTGTAAATCAGGTAGCAGCTAGCATAGACTACTCTCACTTTCCTTTCGCACAGGAGTGCACCAAGTTTACATATTTGGGTGTCCAAGTCACTCTCTCATCTAAAGACTTGATCAAATACAATGTTAATGTGCTACTTGAAAGGACAAAGCAGGATTTTATGACATGGTCACCACTTCCAACAACGTTAGCAGGCCAGATAAATCTGATATAGATGATAATCTTGCCCAGATTCCTCTACGTTTTCCAAATGATCCCAGTATTCATACCACAGTCAACATTTAAGCACTTGAACAGACTAATATCGCTGTTTATTTGGAATAAATCCAACCCCAGGATGAGAATGATGTATCTGGAGGTTCCTAAGAAGGAATGCGGTCTGGGTCTGCCTAATGCAAAATTACTTTTCTGGTTACATGCCTATGATAATGGCCAAGGCCCAGACTGGGTGCATATGGAATTACAGTCCAATCCAATATCTATGATAACTGCCCCTCTGCCACTTATCAAACATGACCATGTTTTAAACCCAGTGGTCATGGCATCGGTAAAAATGTGGACACAGTTTAGAAGATATGTTGGACTAAAGCAAGCAAGTGGCTTACTCCCTATAACTAATAATTTCATTTTTTAACCTTCCACTTTGGACCCAACTATGGCATAGAAATGGGTTAAGGTTTCTTTGTGACCTGTTTTCAGATAACATATTCTCTACCTTTGAACTGCTAGCCAAAGATCATAGTTTACCTGGTTCACACTTCTTTGGGTATCTTCAAATTCATGACCTTGCCAAACAAATGATTCCCGCTTTTCCTCACCTGTTACCTAGGAGTGAGTTGGATTCTATTTTGGAGTTGACCCCTTTGAAAAGATCTATACTACTATTCAGAAACTGAAACAGATCACATGGGACAGGACGGAAGAGGCTTGGGAGAAAGACTTAGGGCATGTGGTTTTTCTTATTCTGTAAAACAGAGGAGGAAATGCCTTAAGGTTTGGACACTTAGGTTTCTAATCCCAGTTGGCAATTTTTGATTTAATGGTCATTTGATGAACTTCTCCTAGCAGGTTGTCCACATACACTTCAAAACTGTTTCTGACAAGTCTTAACACATTGATGATGCTATGTTGTTAATCTTGTGAGTTTTCTTTTCACTGCGTGTCCATGGCAGGGTGGTGAAGTTCCATGCATCGCTGTAAAACAGGAAGTAATTTTAAGCTCAGTGTTCCAACATATGCAAGCGGCAACTCCCCATCACAACTACAGATTGATGAGGTACAACAAACATGTTATGGCAATGGGGAACCAGGATGAAAGCTACCGAAGAAATACAACAAGCCGTCTATACCTTAGGGGCACTGGAGACAGCCAAACAAAGACTCACCGCACTGGCTACCCATCTAAAGAGCTACAAAGGAGAAGCAGAAGCCAGGAGAATAAACCGGATGTTCTCCACAGATCCACCCAGGGCTGAGACCAAACATTACTGGAATATACATAAGGAGGCATCACATAACACAATTTCTCAGTGTCAGAGACAGCCAAACAAACACTCACTGCTTTGGCTACCTGCTTAAAGAGATACAAGGGAGAAGCAGAAGTTAGGAGAATAAACTGGATCTCTACTGAACCTTCCAAAATGTACTGCTAGTGGCAGGGTAATAACACAAGCTCAGATCGACCCAGGGCTTCGACTGAACATTACTGGAAGAACATAAGGAGGCATCACATAACACCATTGCTCACTGGCTAGTGGTTCTAAGAACAGATCACAGCAATCTCAAAGAACAAGATCCAGTAACCATTACAATGGCAGACATCCAAGAAAGAGTGTCATGTATGAAGAGCTGAACAGCACCAGGCCCTGACATAATCCACATTTAATACCATGAACCCCTGGCAGCACAAATGAACCAACTGCTGATGGATGGGACCCACCTAGAATGGTTGGATTTGAAAAGGCATTTTATATGGTAAACCACAACATTTAATTTCAAAACTCTCAATGTTAAACTTGTCAACATGGTCATTATCTCGGTTTGACTCATATTTGAAGGGTCGGGAACAGTGTGTTGTCATAATAATATCAAGTCCGCTTTCAGCAAAATAGGGACAGGAATCCCCAGAGGAACTGTGTTGGGTCCTATCCTTTTAAGTTTGTATATATTTGATATATCAATGACTTGCCGGATATATGTGATATAGGTCTTCAGATGTACGCTGACGATACAGTCGTTCATGTATCTGGCAAAACCTGTGATGCAGATAAGCTAACCAAAAACTTTGAAAAAGTGTCAGCTTGGCTTGACACCTCCTGTTTTACACTAAACACCAAGAAAACAAAGTATATCTGTTTTTCTATTAAAAATTTATCTGAAACCAAATCCCTGAATGTTAAAATTAAAGGTGAGCTTATTGAACAAGTACCAGAAGTGAGGTTTCTGGGGATAATTTTAGACTCCCAGTTAAATTTACAAGCCACACTAAAAAGATTTTCGAAACGATTAGGGCTAACCTTAGTTTTAAGATGATAAGAAAATTCTTGATATTTGATTGTGCCTTGATGTTTCTAAATTCAATGATACTTTCTCATCTGTCTTATGGGTTAACTACCTTGTCCCAGGCCACTCAGTGATCAAACTCAGTGATTAAATCTATGGATTGTCGTTACAATCAAACCTTGAAACCCTGGACACAAAGCAAGTCAGGTACCATGCCACTGTCACATTTTAAGCAAATACAAGATTTGAAGTTTTGCAAACTTATTGATTTTCATGATGCTTTTATTTAAATTTTGAAGTGGACTTGCTCCTCAGCCTCTCTGTAATTACATTAAGAGACTACAGAGTAGCAGCATATCCACCAGAGCAGCTTTGAGTGGCAATTGTAAAGTTTCATTTTGCAAAACTTCTTTTGCCCAGACGACCCTGTGAAAGGAGCAAAGTCTTGGAACTTGCTACCTAAACACTTGAAAACTGCTGCAAACCACTTTTAAAAGAGAGGCCAAGTCCTTGTTGGGTCAGCAACAAACTCACGTCTAGTCTATTGTAGTTAGTGTTACATGTTTTTCATTGCATTTTGATTTACTCATTTTATCTCCTTTTATCTTGTTTTGTACTGTGATGTATTGTATTATACTTTTTCTTTCTTTTTATCGTCACTGTTTTAATGTTTTAATGTTTTATTTCTTTACAAGCCCTTCTAGGGACAGGTGTTGCAAATTAGAAACTGATAAAAACACTATGGTACACGTGTTGGATTGGAGCAAATGACCATATATGGAATACCGGCTCCGTCTAGCGCCGCGTGTCATCAAACGGAGATGTTAGTAGCTGTTGAAAACAGAGAGTTCAGAACAGGTGGAAATCTGATGTTTTGGCTCACAGGGATTTCTTTTAAATACTTTAACCTTTACTTTAATTTTTTTTGAAGCTTTGGCCATGTTTAACATGAACATCCAACACTGTAACATTGTAGATGTAAATAAGTCATGAAATATGGAAAAGCATAATAGGTCTCCTTTAAATGAATAAATTGTTAAGTTGCCTATATCTCTTGTTTCTTCACACTTCAATCATCCAATCCAAAAGTCAACATCAAAGAAAAGCTGTTTAGTCTATTAGAACAATTAAACGCACAACCAGACTTATTATTCCTCCAGTATTTGCATGAAAACATCTCCTGAAGGCACAAACATGGCAGAGTTGCCAAGTCCCGTTACCGGTGAGTCAGCTGAAGTCGGCTAGTAGACAGACACTGAGAATGCACCCTGAAAGTGGTAACGCCCCTAATTATACAGAACTGTAAACCTTAATATGATTTAAACGGGGGGGTTATGAAAGAAAATGAACCCCTCACAGTTGTCACGAAGATAGACTGTATATAAGAAATGGACGTAGTCATGGTGACGTCACCTGTTGGTTTGCAGACTGCCGTTTTGAAGCCTCGAGTTTGGCCGATAGGGCGCCGCCATGTCGAGTTTTTACAACCAAGTGCCAATTTCCGGGTAGTATTCATTTTTCAGAAACCGTTATCTTTTGGGCCTTTCACCTAGCTAGACGCAGCACAGTAACAGCAGCAGACGGACATCACCTCCTCTCTCATGGAGAAGTTTGTGTTCCTGTTTATCCTTCTGTCTCCAGCAGCTTCTGGTAAACACGAGTTTTTATTGTGAACAGATTCGTGTAACGTAGGAAAGACTTTTAAACAGTAATGTTATCTTGTCTTACGAATTCTTCATGTGTTTTTTAACAGGGCTGGGCAACATGTCGAATATATTATATATTAGTGTGCGATTTAGCAGAAGATCATGTCGTCATGGTCAAGTTTCAGTGTTTTTCCGCTGGTCGCTTCTGATGGGGAGTGATAAACGGTGAATAACGGTGAAAAGCTAACTAGCTAGCAGCTACAAGTCACTGTGTTTGTTTCGAGGTGGCGGAAAGAAAATGCGATCAATCACCTGATCTCTATAATTTCTCTACCGCGGCTTCCAGCTCTGTAACGTATTTATGATATTTACAGTTTGAGGCTATTTTAATAACATCAGTCTAATTTGTAGCTGCTAACTAGCTAAATTAGCTTTTCACCGTCTGGTCCAGCTCGCTGTGAAGAGGACGAGACGCTGTAGTAACATAAACACAGACTTTATTTACTTTCTGTGGCACAACACACATTAACTATTATACTACCAGTGTTTGGCAAGCTGCCTGGAAAATGTAGTGACCTAGCTACCAGTTACTCTACAGTAGCAAGCTAAGCTACAGCAACATGGCAAAAGTAGTTTCCTACATCTAAGCTATTTCTAAAAAAAAATTTATATTGAACCAACTTCAATTCAAGTCAATGCTGTCTCTGTGATCAATAAAACTGACCAGGCTGGCAAAATGTCGCAATTCAGTTGTTTATTATGTATTTTTATACTGCTCTCACAGCTTCAAAGCTAATTTGAATATTGATATTAAAAGGAAAAGTTGATCTACAGGAGAAACATATCTGAAAGCAACACAGAACACCTGAGAGCCGCACTGAATTATATTCTGTTATAGTTTTATATTTTGAGTCATCGTCTGCCACCTGAATTTTTTTCCCCCTTTACATAAATGAAAACATTTCCAGCATAAATTGCTGCAGAAAAATCTCCTAGAATGCAGGAAATTAAGTGTTTAATGCCCAAAAATGTTTATATAATTCAGCATTGAAGATTTATCACAGTGTTCAAATCTTGTCTCGATAAACTGTCTCGTCACACCTCTAAGGCCCAATACTGATATTTCCTGTTACTATAACTAGGTCTAATAACTAACCAGGACTTGTTGATGTTTCTAAAGACGTAAACCTTGTGAATAAGGAAATGAAACTGTGTACCAGACAGTCTGTTGTGTTTGCTGCCATAAAAAATAAAAAGTCCTTGTTTATGGAAACACCGGAAACATTATCGGACATTATATAGAATATATTTGATTGCTCAGCCACATGTACACAGGATAAGCAGTTGACGATGAGTGAGTGTGTGAGTTATATTGCCCATCCAAACGCTTTCACATTCCTTCACATCAGTTTTGTGATTTTCTGGTTTGTATGCATGATAATGTTAGCTAGCTAGCACTTACAGGCTCCAGGCTTGTGGTTTAGAGACCTGGGCCGCGAGTGCAACAACTCACACACTTGAATCATGTCTCAGGGTGGTGATGGCGCATAGATAAGATGCTTGCCTTTAGTGTGGGAGACCTTGGTTCAATTCCTACTATGAGACATCCACCTTTGTGTCCCTGAGCAAGACACTCACATGTCAAAGGCTTGTGACCTCTGAGTCAGAGGCTTGTGACCTCTGACGTGTATAGCAATTGTAAGTCGCTTTTGATAAAAACATCAGCTAAATGAATAAAATGTACATGTAATGTCTCATAACAATTAAGCGAGAGAGAAAACCTTTCACATAAACACTCACCATGAGAGAAACGTGTCAACAGAACCACGAAGACTTTGTGGCCTGGTTTGAAGCTTCCAGAGTTTCAAAGAAAATTGTTAAAAGTTGTTTCTGTCTGTTCCGTCCTGGAAGGGAGATTAGCAGTGGTCCCAAACCCGGTCCCCTCGTGTGCTAAAATAACATGCTGGTAATATGTGTATATATGTGTTATAATGTGTGTATAACATAACATATACAACATATAACATACAACACTGTGTGAATAAAATCCTGTAACGTCTCCACAGTTGTGACTAATTATTGAATGTTCCCATGATCTCAGGTGTGAAGAGGCCTTCTGTTTAAACAAAGATGTTCTCACTGTATCGTCCTGTGGTGTCCTTTTGAAATGTAATTACTTTTTCTCTCTGGATGTTTTTATTGTTTTTAGATGTTGTACGAGTGAAACCTGGAGATGATGTCACTCTGCCATGTCAGGCTGGAGATGTCTTCATCAGAGCTGTAGAGTGGAGCAGACCTGACCTGGAGCCAGACTACGTCCTCTTTTACAGAGATGGACTCTCAGATCCAACCCACCAGCATCCATCCTTTAAGGACCGGGTGCAGCTGGTGGACAGAGAGCTGAAGGACGGAGACGTGTCTTTAATTCTGAAGAATGTGAGCAGCAACGACGCTGGAACATACGAGTGTCGAGTACACACAGCAGGAGGTTCAAGACGTAAGAGAGCCATTATTGAGACTGAGCCCATCAGAAGGATTGAGCTGGAGGTTTCAGCCTCAGGTGAGTTTGTGGATGTCAGTGTGTCTGTGTACAATGTTAAATGTAAATGCTCTGTATACCGCCTTTTGTAGTCTTTTCGACCACTCAAAGCCACATTCATAGCTGCAGTTTATTCCATGTTGATTCTGAGAGTCAAACATGAGGAATATAGAAGATATAGAAGAGTAAATGGAGGCTGTTCCACTGTTCACTCATTTCCTGACTAATATGCACTTTGATCTTCAGGTTCCAACAGCGGAGACGTCGAGGAGGGAAACTACGTTTTTTACTACGGACTGGGAGCAGCTTTTGTTCTGGTTTGTTTAGCTGCTGTTGGATTGGCTGTTTTCTGGAAATATAAAAGACATAAGGACAAGAAACCAGAACAGCCTGCTGCTGATGAAGCAGTGAACAACCAGTTATTCTGATCTCTTTCCACCATGTTTCATACATTGAACATGATTTTCATTCTTTCTGTGGGTGTGAATATGTAAATCTGGTGTTTCCACTGTGATGGTCTGTTTCTTCAGTGCGAACAAATAACGTAGGAGGAGTTTGCGTTCCCGATCCAGTGAGTTATTTTGCTTCTCAGCTCCTTGTGGGGTTTTGACAAATGGCTCCACTTTTGATAACTGGGTCGACATTGAAGTGTTCAAAGTCCGGTTTTTGATGTGCTGTTGAAGATCCAATATCCAAAAGTCTTGTCTATCATAAACAATAAGACAGATGGCTTCGAACCCCCCCCGAAGAGTTAGATACAAAACAAACATAAAACTGCAAAAGTTGGTCAGAGCTCGCAGCACAGCAGCCGTGCTCTGCACCGTGTTTAATCATCATTTCACAACAACAAGTCTTATACAATGTGTGTATAACATAACATATACAACATATAACATACAACACTGTGTGAATAAAATCCTGTAACGTCTCCACAGTTGTGACTAATTATTGAATGTTCCCATGATCTCAGGTGTGAAGAGGCCTTCTGTTTAAACAAAGATGTTCTCACTGTATCGTCCTGTGGAGTCCTTTTGAAATGTAATTACTTTTTCTCTCTGGATGTTTTTATTGTTTTTAGATGTGGTACGAGTGAAACCTGGAGATGATGTCACTCTGTCATGTCAGGCTGGTGAAGCCTCCATCAGAGCTGTAGAGCAGACCTGACCTGGAGCCAGAGTACGTCCTCTTTTACAGAGGTCGACGCTCAGTTCCAACCCACCAGCATCCATCCTTTAAGGACCGGGTGCAGCTGGTGGACAGAGAGCTGAAGGACGGAGACGTGTCTTTAATTCTGAAGAACGTGAGCAGCAACGACGCTGGAACATACGAGTGTCGAGTTGCAGCAGGAGGTTCAAGACGTAAGAGAGCCAACATTGATGCTGAGCCAATCAGAAGGATTGAGCTGGAGGTTTCAGCCTCAGGTGAGTTTGTGGATGTCAGTGTGTCTGTGTACAATGTTAAATGTAAATGCTCTGTATACCGCCTTTTGTAGTCTTTTCGACCACTCAAAGCCACATTCATAGCTGCAGTTTATTCCATGTTGATTCTGAGAGTCAAACATGAGGAATATAGAAGATATAGAAGAGTAAATGGAGGCTGTTCCACTGTTCACTCATTTCCTGACTAATATGCACTTTGATCTTCAGGTTCCAACAGCGGAGACGTCGAGGAGGGAAACTACGGTCTTTACTACGGACTGGTAGCAGCTTTTGTTCTGGTTTGTTTAGCTGCTGTTGGATTGGCTGTTTTCTGGAAATATAAAAGACATACGGACAAGAAACCAGAACACTCTGCTGCTGATGAAGCAGTGAACGACCAGCTCCTCTGATCTTTTCAACACATGTATCAAATATTCAACATTTCATTCTTTCTGTGGATGTGAATGTCCTGTTAGTTGTTTTGTCTGCAGATCAGCTCTCATGGCAAATTGTTCCCAGACACTGCTCAGACTGAATGCTTTCCAAATATCCTTACCTTAAGTGCAATTTATATTTCTGCGTCAAATTGACAGCGTAGCCTGACGTGCACCTCCTCAAAAATGTAACTACACGTCGAGGTGACGTGGACCTTAAGCTCTGTGATTGGTCGGCTGGGTAGCCTGGCAATGCCTCCGAGCTAACAGGAAGCGCCCGTGCTTTGAAGTAACTTTTACTAGCGGCCAAAACGGCGGCTGTAAGACGGTGGATCAATATATTTGACCGTCACAACCCGAGCGAAATGACTCTTCATTCATTATTCGAATATGATCCATTCATTCGGTAACATTTGAAAAGGCTATACCAGCCGCACATTTTACCCACATTCACATTAGCGGAGCACTAAACTGGAAGTTAGCCTGCTTGGCCAGCAAAAGTCAACACGGTGGACGCTGTAGCGCTACTGTAGACTAGCGTTTGGGGGTGTAATTGCAGAATGATGGAGACACGGACGCACAAGTATAAATGCCTGGCTATGTGCGTAGGGTCTACGGCGTAGCCAGGAGTATAAATCAAGCTTTAGACTGGGATTAGAAAGAACTTCAATACTCTACTTTAGAAAAAGTAAAATCACTCATTATTAAAATTCAGATGTTGCATGATTATTATTACCGACACATGAACATGAGCAGTGTGTCAGACAGAGCAGGTGGAGCGATTTTAGCTGATGTTGGAAGTTTAATTTCTGACTGTGTTTCATGTTTTATATGTAAAATCTTCATCTGCAGAGGAACCTGTAACTGCGGCTGTCAGATAAAATAAAAACACTCCAGTACAAGTACTTTTCATTCTGTGTTCAGAGCTGTTGAACCTGTTGATCCAGGTCTGATCTGAGCTGGACGCTAAACCTTTACCAAAACCCGCCTGAGCTTCCAGGCAGCCGTCCAGGTATGAGGTTATATATATATATATATATATACACACACACACAAGAATGATGTCCTCAGGGAGTTCATCTCCACAGTATTGTTTAAAAACCAGTTTGACTTCTCTCTTTGTATCAATATAAAAACGGACCTCAGATCAAGTTATTTGTTGACTTTGAGTCCTGCTTCTAGAGCAGATGAAACTAAGAGTCACTTAAACCTGATAAAAACAGGATCATTCACCTTCCGTAACAGTAACTCTGTAGCCGAGAGAAGAAAATGAAATCTGATGTTTCAAAATGTCTGCCTGGGCCTCCCCTTCTAATCAGAGAATGAACGGGACTTTTTCAGGGTGGCTTGTTGTCTGAAGCAGCTCTGAGGTCATTTTAACTTCACCATCCCCCACGTCTCAGTCTGAATCAGGATGTGGGTTCAGTTCTTCCTCTTTACTGCTGGTGGGTCGAAAGTGACTAACATGAAACCAGACTGCTGCTCTTTTATTCATGTATGTCTGAAGACGCTGAAGTTTAACTGGAACTCACTGAGACATGATCCCCACCTGCTGTGTGGACAGGTGCAGGTTGAACAGCTGTGACTGTCTGCTTTGTGTCTGTGGTCGTGTTCAGACACCACATGGATGACAGACAATGAATGGAGAGAAAAATAAATATATATTCACATTTTAACTTCATCAATCCAAGATAAAAGCCTTCATGATCCTTCAGCCACAGATTGTCTCCTGAGCAGAGTCTCCACTCGACTTTCATTTAGGATCTTGTGTCTCTCAGAGGAGCCATCTTTGATCACGTTTCCTCCTCTTGATCAATAATTGCTGGATCAGGATATTCTGATCAAACTGTTTCAGGAAAACTTATTTTCCTCTGGACTTTATTGGAGTGAACCATCTCTCTGATAAACCTCAGTATGGTGTACTGGAGAGTTTTACATGTACTTTTTCCTCTTCTGTCATGTGTTTCCTGGATGATGATGTAAACACTGACCAGAGTGGGAAACAAAATCATACATGGAAAGGTTTTCTGTATGTACAGTACGTCATAGTACGCAGTTTCCTGTTATGAAGCACATGACCTGCTGCGTGTATAAATACAGACTGCAGAAAGAGGAAGTCTTGTGACATCTGCTGAAGTTTTTAAAAATGTCTGTGGAAGGTTTTTAAAATAATGGGATGTACTGGGACTGAAATTTAGCCTGAGACTTAGAGATGGAGAGGTCTTTTGAGATAAAGATATTTTTGCAGTTATCTTAATAATAACAGTGTTTTGTGTAATAAGAGAATCAGAATATGCTGAAGACCTTCCAGAAACTTCAGGATGACTCCTGTCTCCTCAGTTTGTATTAGAGCTGGACGATGTGGCTTCAAATGTTATCACGATAACAAAGTTTCATAGCTTTTGATATCGATAATTATCACGATAAATATCACATTGTTTCGACTTTAAAGGCTGATTTTAGCTCCTAAAGGTTGAAGAAACATGATTAGTTGCATTTTAAACTCTTCTTTACAACGCTTGAGACCAAACAGTGGATCACTTCACAAATCTGAGGTAGAACATTCAATACAATCGTGATACAATCTTTGTCAACAAATATGCAGAGTAAAATTAAGTAAAAGCTATTTTCGGTCCTTTCCCCCTCAACAAAATAAATTAATAAATTAATTGAAAAAGTGAGTCCTACTTCGTGTTTGATTCAATTGAATAAAATCAAACATTTATTGAATATTTATTGTTTTATTGTCCAGTCCTAGTTTGTTTACAGGGATAAAAGCAAGAATTTTTTCTGTGCCTGAAATGTGTTCAGGTGTTAAGACAAAGATGGAGGGATCGGGGCGAGAGCGTAACTTTGTGTTGAAAAGCGGTGGGTGTGATGATACACTCAGCGAAACATGGGGAACGACTAGACTTGGTTCACAAGAACAAGACGAGAAGGTAATTGTACAGTATTCAAATGAATTATTGAATGATGATTGAAATGTTTAATCAATGTGGAAATGTATGAGGGGGGTATCTGTGGGTCTTCCCTCAGAATATATTTCTGTATGTCAGATTGTTCCCCAATCTGACATACAGCCAGCACAAAAGTGAGATATTAGAAATTGAAAAATAAAAACTCTTTGACCAGCGGTCGGTTTAACCTGGAATGGACCGGCTGTTCCTGACGGTCAGCCCGCCCTGCCATTGACCTTTTCATGTTCCAACTGTTTGTGTCACACATGTCATCACTTTTAAGTCTCAGAGCTCAGCACCGGGTTTTCTGAACAATATATAAAAACTGATCTGAGTCACAGTAATTCAGTTTAGACTCCACACAAGCATCTACATAAATAAAAATCCAGGTCTTACTAGTTGTAGATCCCTGCACAGGCCTCACATCTGGGCCCTAGCCCGACCCTGACCTGACAGTTTAACAGAATTCTCAGAATTTAAGACCAAGCGGCCAGCAGCCGCAGTGAGTTGATGATCAATGTAGCATCTCAAATCAACACTTGACTACAACAAAATACTTCGAGCATATCACAATGTTAGCTTAAAGGTTTTTTTTTATCACCACCAAGTTAAAAAGCATTTTTGACAAGCTGAGGCAGGCTGCTGCTGCTGCTGCTGCTGCTCGCAACGCCGTGCTGAAAAACAAACGGGCTGTATAATCTCAAGAAATAATAAAAACCATGCAGGTTGTTTTACCTTACACCCGGGCTGTGAATCCAAAATCAAGGCTTCACCACAGAACATGGCTAATCCCAAAGTCTAATCCCAAAGGACAGCTTCCTGACACTAAAGCCAAAAGCACAGTCTCACAGTGTGTGTGTCAGTGTGAAATGTCTTAAATCTCCAACTTCTCATAGTTTCGTGTGAGCTATGACATGAAAATAGTCCCGGACGGTGAAAAACAAGTTGGGGCCGGGCTGGAATGCAGGGCTCTATTCAGTTTAACTTTGTGTCTGTGAGCAGCTGCAGGATGAACCCACCTCCTCCCTCATGATGCAGACTGCAGTATTTGTCATGTAACTCTACGATAAGATTGGTTTGAATCCCAAATGTGGAGGTAAAGTGTTTCAGCTGCTGTTGGACTAGGACAGGAGGTCTGAAACCTGCGGCCTCGGGCCTGACATGTGGCTCTTTAGCTATACATCAAATGTATTAACACTAAAATGTGAGTTATCATGCTACTTCCTGGCGCTAACCTCAATGGCAGTGTCTTGAGTAGGTAGCCTGTTCTCCTAAGATAGCTGAATTTCAGTGTGTGGACAAATTTGTATGCTTTTAACACCTCGCTTACCAGAATGCAGAGATGGGGACTCGAGTTTGAGACTCAGACTTGAGACGCACTTAAGTCTCAGACACAGTGACTTCAGACTCGACTGAAACTCGTCCTCAAAAGACTTCAGACTTGACTCGTACTCGAGGTGCGGGACTTGTGAACCAAGTATCTGCTGCGCGCGGTCACAACGTGAGAGACGACAACAAACACAGGTGTCGTGAATAAAAAGTGATTACTGTCTGAGGGAGCGTGCACAGTGTCTCTTTACGACAACAGCTGCATCTGGGTCAAACAGACATAACATGCAAATAAACCTCACTTTATCTCCATGGTAACAGCAAAGGTATGTCTTTGTGAAACTTTAACGTTTCTTTTAACTGAATAATCACAATTGTGGCCAAACATGTGTTTGTAGTTTAAAGCGTAACCAGGCCGGACGTTTACTTGATTATAGGCAATAATAGAAGCCTGTTGCTGTGCAGGCGTTTGTCTAATATCTTTGTGTATATTTGTAGCCTGTAATTAACATGACTTACTGCTGAGTTATGTGTAAAGTAAAGACAATTATCCTTATGACTCTACATTATTTTACTTCCTGTGTACCAACCAATCCGGTCCTTTTTACTTGTTGAAATACCTTTAAATGGCGAAAAACAAACACAATGGTAACAATGTTTCTCTCTCTTGTTGTAGCAGACTTTGACTGATGACTCCTGTGCATGTACAATATGTGTTTGTAAATTTATCTATAGAATAAACTTACTTAAAAGTAAACTTAATGAAAGAACATCTCTGTACATCTTTAGGTCTAACTAAAAAAGGGTGTGTGTGTGTGTGTGTGTGTGTGTGTGTGTGTGTGTGTCAATGTGTGTATATTCTTATTCAGAGTCACTGTCAGTGCTTGAAGTGGGCTGGTATTCACTAGTACATATACCAGCACTTCTATATGTTACTCTTTGGCGTACCGGGACTTTTTCTTGCGACCAGGCACTTCTCACAAGCTGCCCATACACTTTTCTACCCACTCCACCGGCGGAGACCGACAACAGAAAAGGTCAAGTGACGATACACATGCCAACATGTGTACAGCATGTGAATGGGGAGGACTGGTCACAGTGCTCACAAATTAATGCTGGTAACCCTGGAGATCACGCTTGGTGGGCTCAGACCGCAAAGGGCACTCTATAAAATATTCCATCCTTCCATCCATCTTCATCCGCTTATCCAGGATTGGGTCGCGGGGCTATAAAATATTAAAATCAAAGAAAGTACCTAGTTTTATGTATAGATGCAAGTGTTACAACCCACCCCACCTCTGTCAGCCAATGTTTAGTTAGCTGTATTACCATAGTGGTTTGAAATTAGAAAGGAAAAAATGCATCACATGTTGACTGAGAAAATATATTTTAATCTAATATAAACCAAACAATTCTGTCTGCAATATAGATATTAAACAAAAAATAGTCTTGATCAAAAAATGTACTTTTTTACCTCAAAATCAGTTTTTTCTCTTGCCTATATTTTCTGAATGCACCTCTTTCCAGACTTGATGACCACCGTGCTTGATCTGGGAGGAAGTAGGTAAATAGTGGAATTGGTGTTGTTACAACTCTCCCCATGTTACAACCATACCCGG